GCAATAAATGTTTCTTTAGATCGAAATTGATTTCTGATTTGTTAATATTGCTGTATTGCTTTAGATGGGTTTTTTCCAGAGTTATTCTTTTTGAAACACTTTCAATCCTGGTATCTATGATGAGTTTATCGTTAAAACCATGGTTTTCACATTTTCAAGTGAAAAAAATTGTCTAAAAAATCTTAATATCCACTTACATAAATTTGAGAAGCAGTAGTTTAGTTATGATTATGTAAAACTCTTTCTGATAAGATGCATGCATTTTTCTTCGGAAATATATTTTTAAGCATTGGTGTTTGCAAAATAAATTTGGAGAGCCCTGGATGTTGTATCTGACATATATTTTTGCTGGTTGCGTTTGTAAATAGTTATTATACCGCTATTGGAATGGTTTAGATGGCGTTGTCTTGTTGTTGATATTTTTTCTGGGATTTTCATTATGACTGGTTGTTAATGCTGTGGTTGTATATTCTAAGACTTGAGCTGGTTTATATTGTTTTTGCTCTGAGTTTATTTTTGTAACACACCTAAGGATTTACATTTGTCATCTATACTTTGTTGTTGGTTGAAATAAGACTTATTTTGTTGTTTGCTGTTAATGTGTGTACGGCTAATGAAGTCATGTCGTTATAAGCTGATTACGAAACTAGTTTTGGTATTTTATTCTGTAGAAATATCAAAAGAATTAAAATACATTGATCAGATCAGGGATTTTTATATCTGCTAAAAAGAATATTGTACAAAACTCTACATACGCTATGTAAGTCGTTTAGAGAAAAGGGTGGACAAACTATGTCAGTTGAATGTCAATTAGATCTTTTTAATAAGATTGTAAAGTCGATTTTTTTGTGAGAATGTGAGATCTGAGGTTTTGAAAAATAATGACGTTCGGGGAAAAGTTCAGCTTTAACTTTGTAAATTACTAGTAGGCGAAATATACCAAAGAAATATTCAAACAGATGAATAGGATAATTGCATAAAAGTTTAAATTTTGAATCATTACAGGCAGTTTTCCTCTTCACCAAAGTTGTCTTCCCATTATTTTTGTTTTCTCGTGCTGATATCTAGTCGAAATTAAACAAAAGAAATGGAACTCTTTATTAGAGAAGGTAATTAAAAAATGTCCAAGTTGGTATATTTGAATTGTTTACATCTGTTTTATTGGATTTAAAAGTTAAACGAAGTGCACAGTTGTTTTGTATCTTATATACGTGTTTATACTTAATTTATAGTATGGAGCTTCCAGATATTTGAAAATTTTTAAATTAAAGACAAATTTCCACAAAACAGTCGATTATGGTAGGTGCAAATGCATGTGGATCTTTTTTGTGCATAAGCATATATTCCATCGAAACAAATTCCACACAAAGCTAAAAGATTGATCTTTTTAAAGCACCAATTTGCATCGCTGCCCCCGGCAACAGATTTTTTTGGGGAATAAATCCTAAAAAAAAGGCAATAATCTCATCGAAAAGAGAAAGTCGGGTACACCTTTTTATGTTCATTCGTTTTTGAGTTGACTGTTTTGTCTTACACCATCCCGCTTCAGATTCTATTAATTGCTTTTATTTAGGCTTCATATTGATATAATAACAGTAAAATTCCACAATACCAAAAACTGAAAAATATGGGTCAAGTGAAATGCCTTTCTAATGAGACATAACAATAGAGTACAGTGCATTTGAATAGCAATTTTTTTATTAAAAGCACTTGACGACATACTTTACTTGTAGATCTTTTATGTGCATAACTTAAAAAAAAAAATGTGTGTGTGTGTTACTCGGGTAATTAGTCTTTAACCTCTGAAAATTTTAAGTCTGCCCTTCCACGAAATATTTAATTACAATTTGTTTTTGCGTTTTTTAATTTTCGAAAATTCCCCCTGACATCCGATCAGACAATATTTTTAAGTTGTCAAAATGCTCAAAAGTACATTAAATGATGCTTCATACAAATGTAGCTAGTAGATACATTTGTCTTAAAAAATACAACTGTCATGTAAGGATGGTAAGGATGCTATATGGATAAATTTATCTGTTTTCAAGAGCCAAAATTGACATTGCGTCATCCGTACAATGGCTTCCATTTTCGAAATTGAAAACATTAGGTGGCGTATTGGGGAGATAATTTTGACGAAGGAGAATCCTGAATTCACAGAAGAAATCGGTAGCGATGACACGATGTCAAAATTGCCCTAGTTATAGTTCTTGGTAACCGTTTCATTCACATTGCATCATAACGACCACTACATGAAAGTTGTATTATGAAGGACAAATATTTCATCTAAATGATAAAACCATTTGTACTATTTTTATGCCTTTATACTTCTTACAATTATTGACTGATTAGTTATCAGACGAATTTTGGAAAGTTCTACGAAACACATAAAAAATCTATAAAAGTATCATGTCTTGAAAGGTGTTGACTAAAAATTATCAACAGTTGAACACTAATAGCCACAGATTACATAAAACATATTTCTTTAGTTTTGCATTTTCAGGTGTTTGGCAGAAATTATAGTGGTGTCAGTGAACTGCAATTTTTGTAGTACATTTTCATGAATAAGATCATTAATATCTCTAAATTTTACTTTTATAATGTGTCTAAGAAAAAAAGTTTTAATATTAATAGCAGCACACGGTTATTTTCTAATTCATACACAATACTACATTATGACTCAAAGGTATTTTGCTTGACCTCAATGTCGGGTTTTCTAGTAATTTAAACTTTGAATGATGTTATACTAACATTGAGCTTTGAGATCTGAAGCGATATATCAATTGTTTTTAATACAAAGCAGTGAAGTCAAACACGCTTGAGTGTTAAGGGTGTAACCGACTTTCTTCTTGTGGTAAGATTTTTAACCATTTTCAAAATCTCGTCTCTACATGGATATTTGTTCCTCGAAAAAGTATTTGCACCTACCAAAACTCAGTTGTTTTGTGAATATTTGTCTTTAATTACAAACATGCATTATATGTTTTAGTTCCATACTATGATATGAGTATCAATAAGTATATAACATACAAATAAATACTGTATTGTACAGATGCGTTGGACTTTTAATGAACATAGAAACTGATGTAAATAAATCCATAAAATGCCAACTTAGTGGGTTCTTTTTACCTTTATAATACAGAGATTCACCTCCCGTATATATCTGTTCAGTGGTTCTTCCAGTCCTCTCTCTATCTTTTTGTAAATTTGTTATTATGTAACTTTGTATAAATTTAGGTATTTTTTTCAAATGTTACATACCATGTACCATATCGTATTGTAGAAACTAATCTGCATATATTGATACCATTGTATTGTATATACTGTTGTTTACCAGAATAACAACACATATAAGATGTTATTGATAGAGGGCGGTTATTTTTATTATCAGTCTCTATTTAGGGGGGTGGGTATCAAAGCTTATAACGTTTATTGTTATGAGAATTAAAAGAAAATATAATTCAATGTATAACTATGAGTATATTCATGATAAGATATATCATATCACAGAAGAGTATCAATGTATATACAAAATAAGTTCTAAACTTGCATCTTTAAATTACTCAATTTCTAATGCAAATATGTTAATGTTTTATCGAACAAAATGTTTTGTCAACATATGTCATATTAACTATTGTAAGTCACAGAAACAGTCAAACCGTATAAAAACTTATCTACAACAAAACTCAAAATGATATTTATATATACATATATATCCGATTGAGAATGTCTGTCATAAAATTGTCACATGTTAAGACGTGTATAATAAAATTAAAATTTGATGTGGCGGCATGCTAATTAACATTATCATCCTTTACTGAGAGAAGAAAAAAGTTTGCTAACGCAAATGTGTAGATCTACTACTGTTAGGCTAAATTTGAGACGAATTATATACATAGAATGAGTCCTTACCATCACAGGCTTCAGTACAGGACTTTTACAGTTTTAAGGAATTTATTTCTCCTCCCAAACATCAATATTGAAAAATTTTACCAGCGTATTGATTTGTGATAGTTTGTATAACGATCAAGGTTACTATTACAATGTGAGTACCACATGTCAAGATAAGAACCATTTGACATCTTACTGATGAAGGATATTAGTTATCCGAAATATTTAACATTTGTACATGATTTTATTTTTTTGTGATGTTGTACACTTTTAGACTTGCTTATTATATATATATATATATATATATGTGTGTGTGTGCAGCAAAATTGGACCTATAAAATATCTTCCTTTCTTTTTTATTCATTACATATACTAGATGTAGGCTGTTATTGGATCTCTATTTTAAAGGTTAAGTAAAACAATATTGTCCAAAAGTCGAGGATAAAACCGCCAACCTTAGGACATTTTTACAATTAACACTGTATCTGATTGATATATAAAGAATTATTAATCAGTTTGACACCATAATGTTTTAATATATTCAAAACGGCAACTTTGAAATTTTGATTAAGCATTGTAATCCGATAAATGATATTGGCAACGAAGATGAATGGACTGAATAAATAAATTTTAAACTTTGTCTTAAATGAAGTAAGATGAGATTCATGACAAAATTAAGAGTAAGCACTCCATAATAAAGACCAATCTTACACCTCAAATATGAATACACATTTTATTGCCTCCAAACAGTATACCAGTCGAAATCCAACAGTAAATTGAAGAAGAAAGAATATTTAGTTGGTGTACTTGAGACAACACATGTTGCTGCTATAGTTGCCAAATCCTGCAAAAACATTTTATTGAGAAGAAACAGTGTTTTATTTCACTAGTTCTTAAAGAAACAAATGTTTTACTTTCATTTAGTATAGATGGACACTGTAAATTTTAAATGTAAATGTGTAAAAATATGTTTATATGTATATATTGTGTCTTAAAAGTCTCTCATAAATCTTTTTAAGATTGGTGCATACATTGCAAATGTTTTAAATGTTTTATGTTTATTTCTGTGAATTTTATTTTTTGTTTGTATGTGGTGAGACTATAATAAAATATTGAATCTTGAATCTTGAATCTTAAATACAAAGTAACAGTGGATTAACAGATAAACACTTGTTCAATTAGTTCTCAACTATTGTATAAGTAAATTGGTTTGAATGTACAGTTATCTAATCAAAATTACTTCTTTGTGCCTGGTTCGAAAAATAGTAAGCAGGAAAGCTTTAAACTCTTTCTTCTTGTCGTGTTTCACGTAATTACAAAATGGCAAACTCTCATTAAATTTCTATGTGACATACTAATTGTATTGTCTCACTATTTTTCTCAGTTCTTCACAAAACTATAACTAATAAGTAAATGATATGATGTCTGAAATAGATATCATAGACACGTAACCATAACCGCACACTTAATTCAAATATCAGTTTTACTTCTTCCTATAATATTATTTCTTTCAATAACACATATATGTACATTATGCATCGCCTTACACTTTTGACAAATTGGGATAGCTTTCAAAAACATCACTATCACGCTGTCTGACTATATCCAATAATCAGCATCAAACATAACAATAGAAACACGTGTACTTTGTTGTTCGAGCTACCGTTGCAGGCTCTTTTGTCACATGAAACTATACATCCTGTATATGGAACACCTTCAAATTTAAACTTTCCACACATGTTTTCAAATGTTTTCAGAGAACAATAACGTATAATAGTTTCTGTTCCATCAATACCTATAACAGATACAAAAGCATTAAATTTTTGTCACTTTGTATTTTTTTAAGGAATGCCGTTTAAGTTAAAAATATCTAAATAACAAACAAGATATGATGTTAATCTGACTGTAGGTTTGTGCACAATCAACTGCCGATTGTTGTATTGAAGGGATGCCATGATGTGGATTATCCCATGGCGGGAAAAAGAGTTACCACATTTTGTTATTTGCATCCTCTTAAACCATAAAATGCGGGGAAAATCTCTTCTGGAGTACAACTTAAAAATATTTAATAGGGTTATACAACTACTCACACATTTTAGGTGAGTCATCAATTCATTTTTCTATAAGCATTAAAATATTAGAAAATAATTTTGCCGTTGGACCTCTCAAAATGTCACTTACTGGACAGCAATGCACAAACCGCACACCTAAGCGCGTAAGCATAGCATAATATAAAAACTCAAGTATAGTGGAAAAATAATAATGATTATGATAAAGAATAACATAAAAAAACAATGTCTCTAAACGTCGTTCAAAACTTTTTAGTATCTCGGTAGCACAAGGAACACCTCTGAGTGCGATACTGATATTTTGGATAGCAAAAAAAAAACACAAAAAAAAACCAAACAAAGCAACGACCCAAAGTAAAACAAAAATATGACAGAAAGAACAACAAAAATCATGCGCATACCTTTCTAGAGGATAAAAGTTACTTCATATGATATTGTGTTCTATCTATCCTCTCCCCCTCGAATGAAAAAAATACAACCAAAGGATAACTTTTCAATAAGTGTTCGAAGAAATCAGAACATACTGTATGGAAGCTGAATGCAAATAGCTGTCTAAGTAGGAGACGCTTACCCTGTCGACACACCTGGTCTCGTTACTTTTAGAGTTCATGCGATTCCTTCAGTTTCTGTGTGTTGCCTTGATTTGTCTATTCCCTATTAAGATTTACCAGATTTGAACATCGATAAACTACTGTCGCCTTTATTCAATTTTAATTCAAAAACGAACTGGCATGATAACGTTACGCGTACGTGGAAATTAAAGACAGTCATTCTTTTTTTATTGTGTGTGTGTCTTGTGAAGTTGCAATTCTATTTGCAGGTGCTAATTAAAACAGATACAACCTCCCAGACAGAATTCGATTTCACTTTTCACTCGCGTGTTAGTGACATTGTATTAGAGTATTACAGCCATTTTTGCAAATTTATAATAGTTTCGTATTTGTTCTGACTTATGCTTGGATTTCATGTCTTTCTTCCACTGTAAGAGTTTTCGTCATCAATCTTCCACAATGTTTTTGAAAGAGCAGATGTAAAAAAAAAAAAAAATAAAAAAAAAAAAACCTAGGAAAATTAATGTTATTAATAGATTTGGAGTCACTCTTTGCAACTTATTTGTGATCATGGATCATAATTTCCCGCGAATTTAATTCTTTGTTTTGATCAATGCTATCCCCAAAACATATAATAAATTAACTTACTGCTCTCTCCTTTCATTTTAATACAATATCTGGCCGGAAATAGTCCTTGTCTTCCCTCCATTCCTTGGTGACAGCCTACAGAAAGCTGATTATATATTGGATGAAATGGGTCCGTACATGCAGGGTTACTGTTATTCTTTGATGAGCAGACATAGCAATCAATAATTGTAGCTTAAAATATTAAAAAAGATATAGTATTATTATAGTATTAATTAATGGGTGTTTTCATAATGGCCCGGTTATATATATATGTCCAAGGTCTGTAATAATGGTCGAGGATGCCCTTAATGGCACGAGGCAACGCCGAAGGACATTAATCCCCTGATGCCATTATAACTGACCGAGGACAAATAACAGGGTCATTTTGAAAACACGTATTTCCTAATACTTTTATTAGCCAAACCGCCAATGTGTAATATCTAACCAAGCCAAATAATTTTTGTGAAGAAATTGTATATATATAATTATACCAAATGCAATATTAAAAAGAAGCTTTAAAAGTGATGTGATGGAATAACATGTAAATGTAAATATAGTTTAATTGTTGTTTTATTCAAAACAATTTATGGCAAACAAAATACAAGATTTCATTCTGGATTTTAAAACTCAAAATTAAATAAATTGATACACATCACGAAATGTGTTATGTAATTATTAACTTGACAACTGGGTCAAATAAGATATTGAGTTATGATTCTTGTGAATTTTCAATTTCTTAATGTTTCTTTTCCCCAGAAATGTATTTGAATTGATAACAACTGAAATCCGTAATAGCCCTGATTATTCATAATGGCCAGGTGTTTTTTTCTAATGGCCCTGTTTTTTCATAATGGCCCTATTTTATTTCATAATGACTCTGTTTATTCATAATAGCCCTGTTTATTGATAATGGCCCTGTATTAATGTCCTGTTAGTCTGTAATGAACCAGTTATGCTTTTATTAATACAGGGGCCGTTTCATACATATTGCACTAAACTGGTTAATAATATACAGTATTGAAAAGAGTATCTAATGCAAAATTCATGAATTAATTATTTTGACAGGCTAAAATTAGCATGTATAGTAGTGTTTCTTTTAATCTATTACAATACAAGGTCTGATAAAGGAATTTGTAACTTGCCCATGAATAACTGATATCACTAAAATATTACAACGCAGGCGTAATTCCTATTAAGTCTGTATGTGGTTTTGGTCGCTTCGGCAATTTTTTTTCAGGAAAACATATATTGGACATGTGCCTCCCAGATCTGGTTGGTTAACCAGTGTCAGAGGAACCTCAGCCCATTTTTTTTAAAGGGTGCCAAAAGGATGTTTCTGTATATCAAGACTGAGTATTCATATTCATATTTCTGAATTGTATTGGGCATGCACCCTCAAACCTTGTTGGTTAGGCAGGGACATGATAACCCTTGTTCATTTTTAGAGAATGCTTGGAACAGGTTTTTTTCTGTATATTGAATATCAGTAAATAATATTAATAACAATTAATTTTGGTTTCTACATTTTGCATCAATATCTTTGTCTGGAGCCATCAATCTAGGTGCTCTTCAACGAGCATAAGTTTGCCCTGAACAATGTCTAAATAAAAATTAGGAGATGTGGTATGATTGCCAATGAGACAACTATCCACCAAATTTCAAATGAAGTGGATGTAACCAATTATAGGCAACCGCACGGTCTTCAACAATGAGAAAACCTATACCGTATAGTCTGCTATAAAAGGCCCCGACATGAAAAATATATTTTAAAATTCAATCGAGAAAACTAACGGCCTAATTTGTAACAAAATATTTACGAAAAAAATAATGACAGATATGAACCAACAACAACCACTGAATTACAGGCTCCTTACTTGGGACAGGTACATACAGAATGTGGCGGGGTTAAACATGTTTGAAGTGCCAACCCTCTCTCTAACCTGGGACAGTGGTGTAACAGTACAACTTAAGAACAAACTATAAAAATCAGTTGAAAAGGGCTTAGCTCAGCAGATAGATACAAGGCAGAAAAACATTTAAAAAAAAACGCAGACCGGACGTGGCAGGGTATTTATACATCCCTCACAAAAAAGACGTGACAAAGTACAGATCTGAGAGTACTCACAGTTACTGGAAGCTATTTTTTTTCATAAAAGCAATTTCCTTCTATTTTATTTCATTTTGACATTGTTTATTTTTTGTAGTTCATATACATATATATATATATATGTGATTTTATGTTTGGCTCATTTCATCATAAGCATCCTCTCTTTTATTCATACGGCTGACAGTTTGTCTTCTCGCTTTAAATTGTGTTTTTAGTTTTAAACAAAAAACATACAACTACATGCGCAATTTTACAAGCAATGCAACCTTGTTAAAAGCTCGAGTAAGGAGACAGAGATATAAGTCTACATAATAACACTTTTGTAAATTAAAATCATCACTATCTATACAACTACTAAATAGAGATTAATGGCGAAAATACTTGATCCATATTGCCTTATTATATTAAAACATATTTTGATATTTAAAAAAGAATGTTAATTAGGAATTACCCTGTACATTGTATTCTTCTTGGAGTTGTAAGAGTTTTTTTTCTGAACTTATATATCCTATACATATATTAAAACATAAAATGTATATTTTATCAAATATTTTACATGTTTTAACTATACTTACTCGTCCTGAACATGCATGAAATATTTGCCACTGGACGTTAAGCAACCAACAATCAATCATAATACATGTATAGGAATATCTAAGTGTCCTCAGCTATAGGTCAATGGCATTGAATTAATGTGACAAAACACTTCCTTCAAGAACTATGACACATAAATGATTGGAAAATTAAGCAACCTATTTAAGGAAATGTACCAGTGGAACAGTCACCCACCAAAGAAAATTATATGCAAGGAAATAAGGCGAATACGGCGTCCAATAGTAGAAAACTGTCATACTGAATGACAAAGTCTAGAGTTTTAAAAAATCTATTGTTTGCATACAGATATTACTTTTATAAACATAATGATATATACGTCACATCGTTGAATTACGGGAACCAAAAATGGAAAACAAAATGTGTCTCAATAGGAAAATTAAAGATTCTTCATGATTTAGGGGTTAGAATAATTGTATGGTAAACATTTTAGTCATTCGTTACTAAAGAAAATTCCTTAAAAAAAAAAGTAAAATCACAAAAATACTGAACTCCGAGGAAAATTCAATCGGAAAGTCCCTAATCACATGGCAAAATCAAATGACAAAACACATCAAACGAATGGACAACAACTGTCATATTCCTGACTTGGAACAGGCATTTTCAAATGTAGAAAATGGTGGATTGAACCTGGTTTTATAGCGCTAAACCTCTCACTTGTACGACAGCCTCGTCAAATTCCGTTATATTTACAACGATGCGTGAACAAAACAGACATAATAAATAAAATAGTCAAAATATGGTTACAGCAGTCATCACTGTGTTACAATATCAAAACAAACAATCATTTACAAAAAAGCACAAAAGCATCTATCAAATTAAAAACCACATTCATTGCTTCGCGTGTCTGACGTCAGAAAATGTAAACGTCACATAAGAAGAAATTTTGTCGTTCAATGTTTATTCAAAACTATTTTATAATTTCATATGGGGAATGTTGGTATACAGGGTTAAAAAATCAAAAGTTATGTTAGAATTAACAGTCACGTTAACCCATCCTTTGTAAGCTTACATGAGCTAACGCCCAGAAAAGTGAAAGCTTACAAGCTGATTGAAGAAATATAGACAAATATTCAGTGTTCAAACATTAAAAATCCTTTAAATATATGACAACTCTGAGATTGAAAGGAAAACTTGAAAACTAATAATAAAATCTATAATGTAATGGAACAATAGATGTAATAAAGATCAACTTGGAAAGATCAACAATGTACCAACGGCTCGAGGATTGAAAATCATTAAATATAAATTCAATAAGTAGTAGAATAGTTGAACAACTGGGCTATTCTTATCAAGTTGCGGACTTAATGTTAGTTACTAATAATTCCAACAAAATTTTGGAATCAATAAACACGGGAAAACAGGAATCGCAACCACCAGGACGATTCCGCTATCAGATATACCAAATTGAATGTCTAGTCTTCGTCGATACCGAATTGAGTATACGTATAAAGGATGGAGTAGTAGTTATTTTTGAAACACCAAACATGGACATCACATTATTCGTTAATGAAAAAAAACCCTTTTTATTTCATATAGGCACAGATTTTTTTCATTTCGGGGCCTTTTATAGCTTATTATTTGGTATGGGTTTTGCTCATTGTTGAAAGTTGTACGGTAACCTATATAGAAGTTAACTTCAATGTCATTTGGTCTCTTGTAGAGAGTTGTCTCATTGTCAATCATACCACATATTTTAATTTGTATTTCAAAGGGTTAAACACTAAACTCGGTTTTTAATGATGCAGTTGTTCTATATGTGTAGTGCAGGTCGTAAAAAGAAACCCAAGAGAAATTTAATGCATAGCTCAATTCGCCGCAATATTTTGGTATACCATTAGATCTTGAAAGTTGAAACCATCTATTGAGACATTGGTATGGTAATTTTGTATAAACGTGATAATACTCCGATTCGGATGAACAAAGTGACCAGCATTAATTATGAAGTAGAGAATATCTTTACTATATGAATTTTTTTTCGTATGTTCTAAACATTTCTGTAATTTTCTGATAATAAACCATTTATGAAAGGTTTAATTCATTTTCTATCCCATGAACTTTGCCCATTGAGGGAGGTAGGATAAGGTTGTCTGTGGATATTCAGTATATCTCTGGCTCCTTAGACAAGTGTCTCATTTGCAATTATCCCATATGCTCTTATGTGATGAAACTTAAAACTGTTGACACAGAGATATGTCTCGCCTGTCGCCTAAAATATTAGAAAAGGACAATTTTATGGACAGCAACATTGCTTATAAATTCAAAGTTGCTGGACCATGACCTAAGGAGACAGTCGTCAAACTGATATGTACTAATAGTATGCAACTTTATATCAAACTGACTCAAGCTGTAAACCTAACAACTAATGACACCGACGACGATGACGCAGGAAAAGCAGCACCTATGTCTCGCAGGAAAGACAAAACCATAAAAACAAAATTACTATGCGTAGCAATCTAATAAAACAAAACAG